GCCCATGAACAACCGCAACACCAGGGGAATTGCAGATGCGTTGCCGGCCTTTTAAAAAGGAGTAGGCTCTTTTCTTGAAGGTCCCTAAGTCGTATCGGTCCGGAAAAATCGCTGATGGTAATCGATTCCACAAGGAAGTCGTGCGAGGAAGAAAACATCTTCTAAATCGCACAGTGGTGGACCGCCAATCATCCAGATGGTGTGGATGGTATCGGGAGTTCTGCCGCGATGTGCGTTCATGAAATTTGGCGGCTGGGATTAATCCGAACAATTCCTCAGAGCACTCCCCATGGTAGATGCGAAAGAAAATGCAAAGAGATGCAACATCTCTTCGCAGTGCCAATGAATCGAGCCGATCGGAAAGGGCTCGGTCGTCGACGATTCGAGCCGCTCTGCGCTGGATGCGGTCAAGTGGAAGGAGCTGGCACTGGGGAGCCCCTGCCCAGAGATGGGAACAGTATTCCATGTGAGGCCGAACCTGCGCCTTGTAAAGTTGCAGGCGGTGTGCCGGCATGAAATACTGTCCCGCTCTGCTGAGCACGCCAAGCTTTTTAGAGGCCAATTTGGCCTTCTCTTCCAAGTGACCACGAAACTGCACGTCACTCGATATGTCGACTCCGAGGATACCGATACTGGCTGAGGCAAGAAGGGGAGTGCCTTGAAACTGAGGAGATACGACAAAGGGGTTCTTTTTAGCGGTAAACGCGCAAACTTGTGTCTTCTGAGGATTAAACTGGACTAGATTTAGTCGCCCCCAATCCGAGACTTTGTCCAGCAAAGACTCGACTTCAGACACAAGTTTGTTCCGGTACTCGGCGACGTTTTCCCGAGAAATATTGGCCCGGCCGGTGTATAGAGCATCACCAGTGCTGTCATCCGCATAGCAATGAATGTTACCAGTTAGCAACATATCATTGATATGCAGAAGAAACAGCGTTGGTGATAGCACACAGCCTTGTGGAACACCAGCGTTAATAGGCTTGTAGTCAGAACATGCACCGTCTACAACGACCTTGATGCTCCGATCTGCAAGGAAGCTGGTGATCCAATTGCACAATTTCTCGGGAAGCCCATAGGAAGGGAGCTTCGAAAGAAGCGCTTTGTGCCAAACCCGATCGAAGGCCTTCGCAATGTCCAGACTAACGGCCAACGCCTCCCCCTTGGACTCTACTGCCTCCGCCCATCTATGGGTCAGGTAGACTAGAAGATCACCAGCTGATCGACCCCGACGAAAACCGTATTGGCGGTCACTGATCAGCTGGTGATCCTCAAGGTACCGGATGAGCTGGCAGTTAATAATGGATTCCATTATTTTGGAGAACAAGGAGGTGATCGCGATAGGCCTATAGTTGGACGGGTCTGAGCGGTCGCCTTTTTTAGGGATCGGGTGGACAAAAGCTGTCTTCCATGAGTTCGGGACAACGCCATGGGAGTAGGAGTACCGGAAAAGACGCGTTAGAACCGGTGCCAACTCCGGAGCACACGTCCTCAGCACAATTGGGGGGATTCCGTCAGGCCCACTCGACTTGTGGATGTCAAGGGAGAGGAGTGCTCTGCGAACCGAGCGCTGTGAGAATAGCACATCCGGCATAGAGCACTCACACCGCGGGATGGTCGGCGGTGTGTTCCCCCCGTCATCAACAGTCGAGTTGGACGCAAAAAGGGAGCCTAAAAGGTCGGCCTTCTCTTTTGCGTCGTGGGCCAGTGAGTCGTCCTCCCTGTGCAGAGATGGTAGTGATGGCTTACAGAAATTCCCTTGGACAGCCTTGGCGAGAGACCAGAATGCACGGGTTCCCGAAGGAAGGCGAACTAGTTTCTCGCCAATTCTGCCTATGTGCTCAGACTTTGCCTTGGCAATAACTCTTTTGAAGGACCTGGAGGCGAAGTTATACTTCTTTTTAAGTGTGCTGGTGTTTACATCCCGAGTCACCGAAGCCGCAGCCCAGGCTTGATAACACTCCTGCTTTCTGCGCAATGCAGTCTTACAGGAGCGACCAAACCAAGGCTGAGATCTGCCTCCAATGGGTACCACAGATGATGGAATAAATAGTTCCATTCCCTGTAGCACCACATCAGTGACAGAGTCAGCAACAGCGCTGGGATCATCCGGCGAGAAGCAAACACGCCCCCATGGGTAGGATGCAAAGAAAGACCGCATTCCGTCCCAATCCGCCGACCTGTAATGCCAAACACGGCGGCAACCTGCAGAACGCAACCGCGAAGGGAGCGTGAGTGGCACCATACTCCGGATCAGACAATGGTCCGAAGAGCCGAGAGGGGCATCGACGGAAACCTGATATCCGTCCGGATGAGAGGTCAGCAGAAGGTCCAACAGGGAAGGTGTATGATCCTCCACATCTGGAATCCGTGTAGGCGAAGTAACCAGTTGTGTCAGACCATATGCCAAAGCAAAGTCATAAACAGATCTCCCCGCATGATCGGTTAAACGTGAACCGAGCCATTCGGCATGGTGGGCGTTAAAATCGCCAAGGATCACGATCTCTGCGGATGGGACCTGTTGTAGCAAGGAATCTGTAGCCATTTGGACGTGGTCGATGAGTCGGTCTGTTTCGGCATTACCGCTATGGGACCTATAGAGGCACCCGTAGACGCGCGGATGGTCGTCGCTGTCTACGCGTAGCCAAAGGATGGACAGGTCCGAACCTTCAAGACTGCCGAGGCGTCGAGAACAGATGTCCTCTCTGACATACACGCAAACTCCAGCCCGAGGCACAAAGGAGTGCTCCAATTTGTACCCCGGGCAGGAGAGATACGAAATATCAGCCGGAGAGGAAACCTGCGTCTCGGTCAGAAAGAGCAAGGCCGGCTTCGCCGTCTCGAGATGGTAGTGGACGGCGTTTAGGTTAGAGTGAAGTCCCCTGATGTTGCAGAAATTCACGGATAGCGTGGCAGGGGTCGCCTTGGTATTGTTGCTCAGTTTGCCCCAAGCAGTTTTGTTTTTGAGCGGAATTTTGCCCCCCCCAGAATACGCGGGGCAGCCTGAGCACCCACGCTCAGGATTGGAATAACATGGTCGTGGATGCTCAGCGAGGGATTCTCCAGGGGTACTGGTACCCTCCTGGGGTAGTCTACTTTGTAATTCCGCTACCATGTTGATGGGGGGGGGGGGGGGGAATTGGGCCTCCGGCCACCTGCACTCACCAGACGAAACGCAGAAGCAGAGCCTCTACTTCACGCCGGTATTCTGTGAGGTCGTGGTACCAACCCGGCTCGAGCCTGCCCATACGTGCAACAGCAAAAAAACTGCTACGGGGCTCTACCACCGTTAAAAAATTCCTAAAAAACCTATTTCACATGTTCAGTGTATTGCGAAGGTCCCTGTTTTTATGTAAACCTGTACCCTCCTGTTATATCCCTATCAACCGTTCATCTTGATAAAATGTAGTGTTGACGGGTTACTCTGTTTCACTCGATTTATTAGATTATCCGCGTCGTTAACCAAGTTAATTTCTGACGAATGAAATATTGTGCACAACACGGAAAAGATTGTATCGCTTTCGTGAAAAGTTAATTGCTTAACTATCGCCATATCTCGAATACTGGAGACAGTCACCACAAACTCCCACAAAATAATTAAATAGCAGCCTAACAAGTTTATTTTGTACATACTTGTAAATCACTATAAAGACAATAAATATCTCGTTCTCAATCTTCATAAAATTGTGTTCCAGACCGAATTTCGGTCATAACGGCCAGTCTCAATGGAGACTAGCCAGCAGCGCAGGACAGGATTATTGTAAGTGCGCCCGAGTGCATGCGCAAGCAAAGGTGCACTCTCTGTTCTCTCATCTTTATAGTCCAATAGGACGGTTATCCTACACGACCGGAGAGAGATCAGGCGCAGCAACTAAGGCTTTCGGGCTTGCCGAGGCACAGGCAGAAAAACCCAATAACTGATTTAGGACCAACCCGGGATTCGAAACAGCACCTTATGGTTTACGGCCACTAGAGACGAAAGAGGCAGCAAACAAGGCATCTCTTTCTGAATCTAACTGCTAGGCACTGGTAATTCCAACTGTCAGTAATGTTAGACAAAAGAGATGATATCAGAATAGAATAGAATAGAATAGAATAAATTTTTATTCAATATAGATCACATGTGTAATTAAGTAATTCACAATTAATTCTTTCTGATGTAACTCTTATTGAAAGTCCTTTTTTACTTTACCACTGGTTCGAAAAAAAACCTCTGTCCTGGTAAGAACCAGCAAGAAACACAGCGGGACTTTTTTGATAAAAGCATATTTTACATTAATGGTTGATCAGATGTTCAGAGTTTGCCTGCGAGACAAAAACCATAGTGAAAATATCCACAGTAACACCGGATTAACGAACTCAGCCAAAAGATCAGCTACAGTGGCAGTAGGCTGACTAGATCTGAATGAATGATATAGAAGGAATCTTTCAGAGTGTATTCGTTTTTGCCTATACTGATGATGCTCGATAATGCCATAATAATTCTGTGGGCAAAAAGTAGTTCATAATTTTAAAATTCTTTATTTATTCTGCCAAATCTATTTCGTTCCCTTCAAAGTAATCCCCCCCGGCCGCAATACACATGCCAACGTTTTTTCCAATCCTCGTAACACTTGTTCAAGTCAATTTCAGGAATAGCCTTCAATGCGCGTAGCGATTCACGTTTAATGTCTTCAATTGACTCAAAACGCTTTCCCCGGAGCGGTCGCTTGAGTTTGCTGAACAGCCAGAAGTCGCACGGGGCTAAATCAGGTGAAGAATATGGTGGTTGTGGAACGATATTGGTTGAATTTTTGGCGAAAAACTCACGAAGAATCAATGCTGTATGCGACGGTGCATTATCGTTGTGCAAAAACCAAGAGTTGTCGGCCCATAATTCCGGCCTCTTTTTACAAATAGCTTCGCGCAAACGACGCATAACACTCAAATAGTATTCCTTGTTGACAGTTTGGCCGGTCGGAAGGAATTCGGAGTGCACCAACCTCGATGATCGAAGAAAACTGTCAACATGACCTTGAGTTTTGACTTGCTTTGACGTGGTTTTGCGGCTTCGGCTCACCTTTGGCACGATTTTCGGCCGATTGATCGCCTGTTTCCGGGTCGTAAGCGTAGATCCAAGACTCGTCGCCAGTTATTATACGTTTCATGACATCCTGGTAGTCGGAAAGCATTGTTTCACAGACGTCAACGCGACGCTGATTTTCAAGAAAATTGAGTGATTTTGGAACCAATCGTGCATTCACTTTTCTTAGGCCCAAATGATCTTTTAAAATGGTTTTCACTGATCCTTCCGATATTCCAACGATATCAGTAAGGTCTCTGACTGTTAATAGTCGATTCTCGAGCACCAATTCCTTGATTTTATTGACGTGTTGATCATCAGTTGATGTTGATGTCCGTCCTGGATGTGGTTTGTCGTCAACGCGTTCTCGACCCTCTTTGCATAATTTGTACCAATCAAAATCACTTGCTCGCGACATACAATTACTACCGAAGGCCTTTTGCAACATTCTGAACGTTTCGGTACCAGAAATTTGATTCCGCACACAATATTTAATAGAACTTCTTTGTTGAATAATTTCACTCATTGTAAAAATCGGCGAATGCACTTTTTGTACTTAACAAAGACAAGCGTATACTAAACACTAATGATTACTTTGATGTGATATTTGGCACAGATGTAACTGACAGTCATACCAACGTAGAAAAAAAAATTCGACGAATGGATTTCCGCGCGAAATTAAATTAAAAAGTTTTACTATTTTTTGTCCACTTTAGGTTTAGTCACTATCTTTTCTTTAGCCGCGGAACACGTGGTAAATCAGCGTTAATATTATTAGTAATTCCAGTTGTTCCAGCGTCGATTGAACTAGGGGTGCTCTCTGTTATAATGCGAAACCGACACCCTTGTGCTAGGACGGCTTACAGTTTATTATCCATTTTAACATATTCCCACATTCACAAAGAAAGCTTTCAAATGAAAGAAGGTGCAGACCAGATCATACTCTAATCCTTTTATTCGTAGATTTTACATCGTTAAACCTATACAATATAAAGTGTTTGAAGTTCTGATAGGATAACGTAATGCCATTCTTTATATAAGATGAGTTAAAAATAATAATATGGGTTGCCACTATTTATCGAATAATAACATTCTTTCATATTTCAATCAGTTGTTAAATTCAAAAAGAAACAACAAATAAACTGGTTTCAATAAATTTTACGGCAACACATCAAACAGGCATGTGTTTTGAATTTTAGTCAAACTAGTCCGATCGTATTTAATAATGCCTGCACATACTCGCATACGCAAACGCAATAAATATTGGCAAAAGCCGCTAGTAATATTTCATTGCTTAGTGGGAAACTTCAAATGTCAGATGGAATTGTCTGACAGTCGAAACTTTAAATTAATGGTGAAAAAAAAAGGAAAAGATATTAACATAATAATAAAACTCTAACGTGGTATAATTGACCGTGTAGTGCCTGTGTAAGAATTGCTATTACTCCATAGCCAAAAACAGGAGGTCGGCAGCAAAGTTTTCCTAATAACAAATAAAAAACTGCGGTTGCCAACCCGCCGTGACAATTGTGGCAAACATCGACACTGTGATGCCATTTTTGATGGACCTACCTATGTTCAACATTAGATTTTTTGATAGGCTGTTACGGTAACGTGATAATATATGTAGTAATGCACTTAACTTTTGAATAACATTTTTATATCAGGGGCTAATCATTGAAAAATCTTAAAAAAATTCTATACGTGGTAGAGCCATGCTGCAGCTATATTAGTAGTATAGTTATAGCACGAATGGGTCGGCTCGACCGGGGAAAAACTCTCGCAGAATACCAGCGTAAATAGCAGCTTAACGCTGCTGTGTTTCGTATGGTGAGTGTAGCGAACCGGAGACCCTTTTTACTGGAAATGAGAAAAATAATATAGCTGCAGCATGGCTCTACCTACGTGGTAGAGCCATGCTGCAGCTATATTATGGTTGTAGCACGAATGGGTCGGCTCGACCGGGGTAGGACCACGCTCTCACAGAAAACCAGCATAAAATAGCAGCTTAACGCTGCTGTGTTTCGTATGGTGAGTGTAGAGAAACGGAGACCCTTTTAACTGGCAAAGAGGCATTCCGTCTTAGTCCTCACGGGTGACAACGCATCTGCATCTTGAGTCTTTATTGAGGATAGATGTAGATGTCTATGGGTCACAGTAACCACTTACCATCAGGTGGACTGTGTGCTCGTTTGTCACCCTATCCTATAAAAAAAATTCCATATTAGTCCTCACGGGTGACAACGCATCTGCATTTTGATTCGCAAACGAGGATAGATGTAGATGTCTAAGGGCCACAGCAATCACTTACCATCAGGTGGACCGTGTGCTCGTTTGTCACCTTATCCTATAAAAAAAATGTTGTGTGAACAAGTAAACAGTCTAGACCATGTATAATATGTTTTTTATAGAACAAGGGTTACAAACAAACATACAATCCACCTGATGATAAATAGAAGTTGTGGTCATAGACGTCTACATCTATCTTCAGTTAAGAATCAAAATGCAGATACGTTTTCTCCCCTTAGAAAGTGGTAAAAGTTCATGTAGATCAGGTAGCAGCATTAAGCAGCTATTTCACGCTGGGATTCTGTAAGCGCATGGTCCTAGCACGGTCGAGGAGACCCATTGTGCTACAAACATAATAAAGCTGCACCATCGCTGTACCACGTTAGAGTCATGCAGTTTCAATCGATTAAGTAAAACCAAATAACTAATAAATACTTAATTTTTCTTTGAGGTGTAGGTTCACAGTAATTAAAGATACGAGTATAATACCATTGGTCACATTGAAAGTACGTGTTGACGAACTTCACATGTCTCTAAACTGTGTTATTTTTCTCAGTTTTCTGTCGATGCTCACTTTCAACAAAAGGTATAACGTAAGTTTCAGACGAAATCCAGTGTCAGACTTTAAACCCTAATATCAAGCTAATCTAGAGAGCTATGAGTAGAGCATGAGACCATCGCAATGCCAAATTTGTTTTTTTTTCGCGATACTTTGTACATATAGTTTTACGACTTTCTTTTCATTCCTTTTGACATTTTTTGCTTATATATTGTGCAGTAAAAAATTAAATCTTGCTTTCACTAAACACATCGTATATCGACTAATAATTTCAGTGGTGCCCGTGCTGGTTATCAAAACTTCGGTTACTCGTGTAAATTAACATTTAGCCATGGTAACTACTAACTGCAGACACTCATTTGTAGCAAGGTTCGTTAGCCTATTGTTCCTCAAAAAAGTTTGTAGCTCAGGGGCTAATCGTTTGCCGTTAATTTGATGGTATGCAAGAAACACCTCCATCGATTCAGCTTCGATCTCCGCCGGCACCAATGAAACTATTCTTTTAATAAAAAAAATTACACAAACTTACGTAGTGCTTAGTGCTGATGAAGCACTAGATGGTGAATTGTACTATTTGACCGTAACAAAAGTCTATTCACTCTTGCCTAGAAGACTCCCAGATTGTATTCAGACGGAAAAACAGACGTGAGCAAATTTACAAACCGCAACAGTTTCTTTGTCGCATGTTCAGATATAACTTTAAGATGGAATCGAAGAACCTAAGGTTTGGTGAAAACTTCTTTAGAATCGTTTTGATTGAACTCGATGAAACGAAAAAACGACAGTAAAAAGAGACAAACATATACATCTATAGGATTTAGCCTGCAAGAGAACAAGATAGAATATTTTATTAAATTAGTTGTGTTTGGGCCATCTTGCGTCTATTTTACGTACCACCTTGGGAATATATCAATTTTTGTTTGATAATGATAAAATGACGTTACGTATAGCAGGAAGTAGATGGCGCTATTACAAGGCGATTTTACTCGAAAGAGAATATTCCTTTAATTTATTACATTAAAATTTAGGCTCTAAGGGTCTAAAATAAGGATTGAACATTTGTTTGCTATAAAATTAAACTTTTATCTTATATTTTATGTCAGACTTGAAGTTGATAATTATTATATTAAACAAATGTTTCCCAAAAACAAATAATTTCATTTGAAGGTACACTTCTACTGCGTAGGAACTGTACACATGTTTTTTTTCATAAAGCTTGTCCTTAAGGTTGGTAGGTTAATTAACTAACGCATATTCATTAGACGAACGAACTTTTCACCACGTTACAAGTTATTCCATGTAATGGAAAACTAAGTGCATTGAGAGATAAAGCTAGGTAGAATAGTTCGTAACATCGTCTCGCGTTTATGTAACGTATTCTTAAAATATTACTTTCGTTTTATTTTTTTCAAGACTTCCGTGCCAAAATTGGTAAAAAAACTTTAAACTTTTATAAAAACCGACTACAAAAAAAATTAAAATGATTAAAGTTTTTAAAAATTTACCTCGCGTACATCCGCTCGATATAATGGATAACCGCAAAGTAAAGCCTGATTCTATTAAATTAAAACGAGTTAAAAAATCACATTATAAGCAGCTTCTGAAATCGGTGCTAAGATTTAAATTTAATAATTTACGAATTTACTTCAGAAGCTATTATGTTTTACTTTTTACTAAAAGTTTGACCCTTTTGGACGCACTTAGGAATATCACAAGCCGAGGTAACAACTTGAATGATGTCTTAATTTTTTTTTATAGAATTAAAGTGACAAACGAGCACATAATCCAACTGATGATACAGAGGCGCATAAACTTCTACATTTATATACAGATAATACGTTGTCGCCCTTGAAGACTAAGATGGAATATTTCGTTTGCATTAAAAAAGAGTCTCCGATTCTATAACCTCACCATACAAAACACAGCAGCATTAAGCTACTATTTTACGCTGGTATTCTACGAGAGCACGGTCCTTCCCAGTTACTATAGCTGCAACATGTAGTTAGAAGTGGTAGTTACCACGTATGAAAAAATAGTCACATCAAGCACTTCATCTCGTAGTTTTCACTCTTAAGAATGGATTTTTTTTGACCATTGTGGTATAATATATTTGTCGGAGAATTGCAACAGAAGATCCCGATTTTGATCTAGAAAATACATCAGGATAGCGTTAATTGTTAAAAATAATAAAATTGTGAGAGCGGATGTTCAACTTGCTCTCTTGCTTACGCAGTTTAATCATTATCAGTAATAAGACAAAGTAACGCACTAAACATTCAGTATAGTGAAATTACAGTTCGACCACACCGTAACACGTCTCCGCCACAATCACACACCCGTGTAACGTGTGGTACGTAATTACATGATAATACCAAAATATGTAAACCAACATCAACACTATCTTAGCACTAGTAGAATGACCACACTCGTAGATTGACTTGAGCGGAATCATGTAGGGATGCACATACAAGTAGGGGTTTGTCGATATACCCTCATTTCCACCTCGATCCAAGTGCTATTTTATAGACGCTCCGACATATTAAATAAAAAATAATCATGATAATCGGTTACTACAAATGTAACCGATTATCATGATTATTTTTTTTACATCCATTGGAAAAACATAGACTTGAATAGAGAGAATCTTCTACTTTTTTGTCTTTATCTCCAAAAGGATC